TATATATATATATTATATATATTTATATATATTATATATTTATATATATTATATATATATATTATATATATATATTATATATATATATTATATATATATATTATATATATATATTATATATATTATATATATATTATATATATATATATATATAGCTTTTTGGTTACTATATTGGCTAGTATTTTTATTGGATTCGTTTTAAAATCTCTGTAAAAAGATCATATAAACCTCCTTACATCACACAAGAAATTATTCACACCTTGAATATGAAGAAAATGCTGCGGAAAAGAGCCAAGTCGACCAACTCTCCTCATATTTGGGAACCGTTTCGAGAGCTACGGCGAAGTATCAAAAGCTTGATAAGATCTAAGAAGCGTGAATACATTTCTACCCTAGCAAGCTCAGTTAATGAGAAACCCAAGGATTTCTGGAGATTCTTTAAAGCTAAGATGACCGGCTCTTCCTGACACTATGACTCACACAACAAGTCACAACTGCAGAAGGGAAAGCCGATGCTTTCAACAAATATTTCGCCTCCATTTTTCGTCCTGTTTTGCCAAGTTCTCCCATTGTTTCTCTGTCTCTTTCCAGTTAGACTAATCTCGAGTCTATTACTGTATCAACAGAAGAAGTTAGTTATCTTCTATTAAACCTCTTGACGGACAAAGCCACTGGACCCGATGGAATATCTGCGAGATTGTTGAAAAAATGTTGGAACGAAATTGCTCTGTCTTTAACAGCGCTACGCAACAAGTCCCTTTCTCTCAGTAAAGTTCCTCAGGAATGGAAAGACGCTAATGTAGTTCTGGTTCCTAAGAAAGGTGACATTCATGAAATCAGCAATTACCAACCGATTTCCTTGCTCTCCTTAGTTCCAAACTTTCGGAACAAGTTGTTCATATTTACATGTCTGAGTTTGTTTAATCCTCGCTAAGTGACTTACAACATGGTTTTCACAGAAAACAAAACATAAACAATTCCCAAGAGGGAATTAAAATTGAATGTTAAATTATCTAAAATAAGCTCAACTCGTCGATCTTCATTCGTTATCAAAACGTTTTATGAAACAAATAGCTTGCAGCAGGCTCGCATTGCTTTTGCCGTTTTGGATTGACTAACTTTGCATAATTAATGTATTTTCAATTCCCAACAATGGAAGATTTTTATTAGCAATTTTTATTTGACGAGTGTGTAGCCATTTATTATTGGCAACTTTTATTTGACAAGTGTGTAGCCATTTCTCATTGTTATGATTTCAAAAAGGTGTCATAGAAAAGCTAAATAACAGCTCTTTCTTCCTATGTAAAATCGAACTGTTTAGCTATGTTTATGATGCACAACAGCCTGTTAAATTTCCGTAGCATTTTTTTAGACACCCTGTATATCTAACTCCTCCCACAATTCAGACAAAACACTTTCTGTGTACAGCAAAGGACCGCTACCATCCAAAACATCCTGGATTTTTTAGGTTTTCGAGCACATTTGCAAGTTTTTGAGCGATTAGTGCAGCCATCAACTCCAGTCTCGGGATGGTAGTGTGTCATAGTGGGGCCACTCTTGCTTTTGCAGACACAGACACAAGGCTAACATGGGAACCATGGGGGGTCATCCAAACCAAATACGCTGAGGCACCATAAGCATCTTTGCTTGCATCAGCAAAGACGTGCAACTCGGAAAGACAAGATACTTCTTTCGGTTGAAGACATCTCGGAAACTCGACTTTCTTGAGATTTTCGTGAAATTTCTTTGAACAATTTCTTCCAAGTGTTGCTCATAACTTCGGGAAGAGGGTCGTCTCAATCAAATTGCTTTGCTTTCCAAATATTCTGTAATGCTATTCTCGCCTTTATTGTTACTGCAGATGCTAAACCAAGTGGGTTGTAGAGCTTTGAGATATTCGAAAGCATGGATCTCTTTGTCAGTCGTTTGACTTTTACTTCTTTCCAAGCAAACCTGATTGCATCTCTCTTCAGATTCCATATTACACCGAGCATTTTGTTCTCTTCTTCCCCTTCCAAATTCACAATTGGTGTGACAGGGTGTGGGTCACTCTCGCTACCATCTGCTTCTTTTGGCTGCTCACTTTCATTTGCCTTCTCGACTATAGAGGAACATAACTATTCTTTAATTTTGAAGCTTCCGGTTGACAAAATTTTTTCGACTTCTTCAATGCTCTTTACTGCTTCATCCGTACTTGGACATGAATGAATTAGATTGTCTACATATATATCATGCTTCAGGATTGTAGCAGCTCAAGGACATTCTTTTTCGTTTGCTTCTGCCATTTTCAACATGACAAAGTTCACCATGTCGGGAGAGGGCTTATCTCTGAATGTGACTCTTTGGAGGGCATATGTTGTTGGTTCTCTTGTGGTATCAAGGTTTCGCCAAAGGAAACACTGGTCATGGGTATCTTTGTCTGGCAGTAGGTTCTGAAGGAACATCTTGGATATGTCTCCACTAAAAGCAACTTGTTCTTCACAGAAATGTAGAAGTACTCCAAGCAGGTTGCCAATCAGACCAGGACCTTTCAAAGGAAGGAATTCAAAGACATGCCATGGTAGGGAGTCGCTGGGTCAAAGACCACTTGTAACAGGGAACTCTTCTTGTCCGGAAGATAAACTCCATGTGGTAGGTAGTAGACTGGTTTTCTATCAACCTTAAGATCTTCTTCACTAAGGGGTATTGCCCAGTTGTTTTCTTCATATTGCATTAACGCTTGCTCATACATTCTCGCTTTTTCTTTATTCTTGCTGAGGCTCTTTTCTAGGGATCTAAGTCGTGTTTCTCCTAGGGGACAGTTATCGGGCAGCAAGTTCAGGGTTCAAAATAGCGGCCGGTATTTTCACGACACCTACCAGCAATTTTTAAATGGGAAAGGCAATGTTTTTGCATTTCAGTTATTGATCAATAACTATTTTTTATGTGAAGTGTGTCACTATCAAAGTCCAGTACAACTAAAAATCAAAAAGTTTCTATCAAGATTTGTTTGCGTCGAACCGTCAAAAAGTTTCTATCAAGATTTGTTTATGTCAAACTGTTAATGGCTTTATGGCATTTTTTATGCAGCGTTCTTTCAAGGTTAAAGGGCACTTCTGACTTAGTCACTTTACTCAATTAGACAAAATAGCAAACATACAAAAAACACATTCAAACATGACAGTATATAGCAGGTTAGTGAATATTTAAGCAGTTTAACAAATTTATATCTTAGTATTTCGTATATAGGATTTGAGCAGGAGTCATTCGTCAACTGCAACGTAAATATGGTGAACACATAAAATGTTTCTGGTGTTTATCTCATCGCCTTGAATTGGCAATTAAAGATGCCCTCAAAAAGGACATTGATACTGCAATGCATGATCTGTCCTACACCTACCAAAATTCTGGTAAACGATTGAGAAAACTATGTGCACTAAATGAAATATTGAAAGATGTCTATAAATTCGAAAATGAAGAAGTGAAGCCAACTAAATCTATTGGAACTTGTTGGATAGATCACAAACTGTGTGCAATGAAACTCTTTATTGACAAAAGAGGGCTTTATTTATCACACATTCAAAATGTCATTGCGGACACAATGAAGAAAAATGATAAGCCTAAACTCGAAGGAATTAGCATACGGTTCAGTGCTACTAAAATGTGCCATGTACCAATGTATGTGGATATTCTTGAGCCTGCTCGACAGTTATCCCTGACAACACAAAAGACGGAAGAAATAAACATCATAAAGCAAGTACAAGCTGTTGACCGTACATTAAAGAAATACAAGATAATGCTAGCCAAAGTAGATGAAGATCCAGCTGCAGCAGCAAGTTCGCTTCCAACAGTGAAACATGTACTATCTGTGATAGAAGAAGGGCCTGACAAATCCAGCCTATGATGGTTGTCCAATACTGTCGAACGTATATGGATCGTAAAGATGGTAAAACATTGAACACAATCCGTACGAACTGCGAAATGGCTTTACGGACTGTACGAACCGTACAGTTCGTGAAAATGAGTTTACGGATCGTGAACCTATACTTTGTCGATAGCGATGTTGTGTTTAAGTCAGGGCCATAAAAGTTTGTCGATACGTACGGATCGTACGGTCCGTATGAACTGTGAAATGGCTTTACAGACCGTACGATCCATACGGTTCGTGAAGATGATTTACGGATCATGAACCTACTTTGTGGCTAGCGATGTTGTGTTTAAGTCAGGGCATAAAAGTTTGTCGATCCGTACGGATCATACGGTCCGTACGAACTGTGAAATGGCTTTATGGACTGTACGATCCGTACGGTGCGTGAAGATGATTTACGGATCGTGAACCTACTTTGTCGCTAGTGATGTTGTGTTTAAGTCAGGGCATAAAAGTTTGTCGATCCGTACGGATCGTAAGCGATCCGTATGGATCGTAAGGTCTGTACAAACTGTGAAATGGCTTTACGGACTGTACGATCCGTACGGTTCGTGAAAATGATTTACGGGTGATGTTGTGTTCAAGTCAGGGCAGAAAAGTTTGTCGATCCGTACGGATCGTACGGTCTGTACGAACTGTGAAATGGCTTTACGGATTGTACTTTTCGTGCCCAATCTTTCACTCCGTCAAGGCAATAATTAAATACATGATGGCGTCGTATACGGTTTGCCATGTTGAAAATATATTCTTCTTGTCAGATTGTAGATGATGAGAAGTGGTTTTCCCGTTGTGGAATAACTGACGTGTGGCTGTGTGCTAAAACTGCGGACAGAACAATAGTGGCGTTTGTGAATGAGACTATGTTATAAGGCGAATAAAAGCGTATACCAAAGTATTAAATGACAATATGTCAATGACAATGACATTGTAATGCTGGATGATTCCGTTTGGCACCTGCCGTCTGCCAAAAAGATACTTGATAGGTATAGCATTCAAATGTGCAGTATATAACAGTTTACACTTGGTTTTATGCACATTTATCTAATAATTGCGTGTAATTATATGAACAGACAATGTTAAAAAATTTTAAAAAGCAAGTGTGGATGAAAAATTTCCACGCGCGAAAAGTTTTTGCAGGCATAATTTTTCTAAGGCTGCGGCTAAGGGTAGTTATGAACAGAAGGAACTGAGGGATGCCTTATTACATGCTAAATTTCAGCAGTTACGTTAGGTAAAGGCAATGTTAATTTGATAGCGCTGTGCCGACAAAGCTATTGTGTCATCGGATTGGGAATATTTGTGTATAAATATTAGCTGATATACAGTGTGTCTAAAAACGCAAGCCAACTTTAGCATGAATTTGTGCGTTAATTACTCGCCGCCGTTTTGAAAAACAGCGGGATTTGCAAACTGAGTTTGCAACTTCAGGAAGTGAGCAACGCTAATCGCATTATTAATTGCCGCTATAAGATGTCATCAATCCAGGTTCAGTTGCTTAAACGCAGTGTGAAACCAAGCAAGTAATAAGTTAATTTTCTATTATGCATAGCGTGAATAATTTCTGTTAGAGAATAGCGTGAATAATATTCAACCTAGATTTTGTTTATGTTCAAAGTATATGGCATGATAATTCCATATCGAAACATCGAAACTTATTTGCCGTCGTTATAGATCCGGGCAGTATAAAAAGTTCGGCAGCTTCAATGGCTTATACACGTATACCACCTTTCCCTAGGCCCTAGTACGCACATGAATCTGGCACAAACGTTTTCACCGTATTCACCAAGATGTATCTACATCTTATTCCAAAAACAATAGCTGCATTGACACCATTGTCTTAACAATTTTACGGAATTTACGCCCGCGCCTGCGTTGTGGGGTAAAGAATAATATAAGACTCCTTTTAAGCTTCCACTGGTTAAGAAAAGATTGGACATCTTCATAACCTGACAGCAAAAGATGGGACAACTTTCTGACACAAGAGTTTATATAGTTATAGAGTTTATATAGTGCCCTGGTTATAGTGGGTTTCAGTAAGTGTTATACATGAGAAAACACCACTTTACATGCATGTATTGAAGAGTTAATATGCCTACATAGGTAGGCTGTCAAATTGGTAAATTGCGTGCATTTGTATGGGCGTTCCGAATACGAATCTCGTTCATACGCAGAGTAATTCAGGTGCAATAGCGTGCTGAAGTTGGATTATCTTTTTTTTATGCTCCCTGTAGAGAACAATTGAGCAAATAATTATGAGTCCGATAAAAATTGTTTGTCGAAATCTCATATATTCTCACCGCTGCGCCTAATTAAAGTAGTGTATAAGAGAAGGTATTATATAGGGTTTATCAAAAAACCTGCTAACTAACCCATTGAAATACAATGTTTTTAGAATTTGCACGATTCAGAACTATTTGATCCCAAGCATACCTATAGTAATTTCTATCAACGCGGTTAATTAAGTTAGATGGGCAGTTCAAATCTCATGCAGGAGCAAAATAAATAGCACATACAGGGTGAGTAAAAAAACCTGATACCTTCGCGGCTAATTTGAATAACAAAGATATCAGTTTTTTTACTCACCCTGTACATTGAAATGCTAGTAAGCAGTAGAATTATGCAAATTATATAGTGTTTGCAGGTATTTTGATACACCCTGTATTGCATGGTTTCTTAAGAACGGAGGAACGACATATTATATTGATATATTGCGTGGTTTCTTAAAAACGGAGCAACGACATATTATATTGATATATTGCGTGGTTTCTTAAGAACGGAGCAACAGCATATTATACTGATAAATTGCGTGGTTTCTTTAAGAACGGAGCAACAATATATTATATTGGTATATTGCGTGGTTTCTTAAGAACGGAGCAACAACATATTATACTGATAAATTGCGTAGTTTGTTAAGAACGGAGCAACAACATATTATATTGATATATTGCGTGGTTTCTCAAGAACGGAGCAACAGCATATTATACTGATAAATTGTGCGGTTTCTTTTAAGAACGGAGCAACACTGATATATTATATTGATATATTGCGTGGTTTCTTAAGAACGGAGCAACAACATATTATACTGATAAATTTTGTAGTTTGTTAAGAACGGAGCAACAACATATTATATTGATATATTGCGTGGTTTCTTAAGAACGGAGCAACAACATATTATACTGATAAATTGTGTAGTTTCTTAAGAATGGAGCAACAACATATTATATTGATATATTGTGTGGTTTCTTAAGAACGGAGCAACAACATATTATACAGGTAAATCGCGTGGTTTCTTTAAGAACGGAGCAACAATATATATATTACTGATATTGTTTGCATGGTTTCTTAAGAACGGAGCAACAGTATTACTGATATTGATATATTGCGTGGTTTTTTAAGAACGGAGAAACAACATATTATATTGATACGGCAGTATATGGCGTGGTTTCTTAAGAACGGAGCAACAACATATTATATTGATATAGCAAACAGCATATTATGTTTGAAGTTATTATAGGTTCACGATCTGTTAATCATTTTCACGAACACCGTACGCTTCGTAAAGCCATTTCACAGTTCGTACGGACCGTACGGATTTGTCGGATCATGAATCATCTTACGAGCCGTACGAACGGTACGATCCGTCGAACTGTTAG